TGCTATTGTAAAGTTTTGTTCCTCACCACGTGAGCGATTTTCATTTTGTTCTTATTTTTTTTGTCATCTCAGCTAGAGATTCGAAAGTGACCATTTTTTGCTCATCTTGCTTTTTGTTTTGGAAAATAAAGTATCTTACCAATAATTTACCTCTGTCTCCCGGGTCGTGCAATTGGGTCCTACCTCCTAAGTGCCTGAGTTTTTAACAGAACGAACTGACCCAAGAACGCTTCACGCCGCTCTGTCAGCACAAGGCGTGAGAGTGTTTCACCACGGGAACAGCTGGGTATGGCCACCCAGAGAATACAAGAGCAGAGAAGACGCCAGGCAGAGATTCAGGAAGACATCTCTACACAGCTGCAACAGCTGGCTGAAAAGATGAATCGTTTGATCCCTCACCTGCGGACTGCTCCAGTGCCATGGCTTCACTACCGGCCCCAGTAGCCATGGTCCCGACTCCAGTTTCGACTCCAGTACTGGCTCTTCGGCCGATGCCAGCTTCCTGTGCCCTGTCGGCTTACCGAACGTCTCAAGTCTCCTCTCGAGTCCCCTGTCAAGTTCCTTTTCAAGTTCCCTCTCGAGTCCCCTGTCAAGGTCTTTTTCAAATTCCCTCTCCAGTCATCTCTCGAGTTCCCTTTCAAGTCATCTCTTGAGAGCCCTCTCAAGTCTCCTCTCAAGTCACCTCTCAAGTTACCTCTCAAGTTTCCTCTCGAGTCCCCTGTCAAGTTCCCTCTCCAGTCCCCTCTCGAGTTCCCTTTCAAGTCATCTCTCAAGTTCCCTCTCAAGTCCCCTCTCGAGTCTCCTCTCGAGTTCCCTCTCAAGCCACCTCTCAGTTTCCCCCTTGAGTCCCCGCTCAAGTTTCCTCTCGAGTCCCCTTCTCAAGGTCCTTTTCAAGTTCCCTCTCCAGTCCCCTCTCGAGTTCCCTCTCAAGTCACCTCTCAAGTCTCCTCTCAAGTTCCCTCTCAAGTCCCCTCTCGAGTTCCCTCTCAAGCCACCTCTCAGTTTCCCCCTCGAGTCCCCGCTCAAGTTCCCTCTTGAGTCCCCTCTCAAGTCACCTCTCGAGTTCACTTTCAAGTCACCTCTCGAGTTCCTTCTCAAGTTCCTTCTCAGGTCCCCTCTCGAGTCTCCTCTCGAGTTCCCTCTGGAGTCCTTTTTCAAGTCACCTCTCAAGTCTCCTCTCGAGTTCCCTCTCGAGTCCCCGCTCAAGTTCCCTCTCGAGTCCCCTCTCAAGTCTTCTCTCGAGTTCCCTCTCAAGTCTCCTCTCGAGTTCCCTCTCAAGTCACCTCTCAAGTTTCCTCTCGAGTTCCCTCTCAAGTCACCTCTCAAGACTCCTCTCGAGTTCCCTCTCAAGTCCCTACCCTATGTCCTGTGCCGTTGGAGGCCCCGACGACTACTGTTCTGCCGGGGGTCCTGCCAACCCTATGTTCTGTGCCGTTGGAGATCCCGCCGACTATTCTTCTGCCGGGGGTCCTGCCAACCCTATGTCCTGTGCCGTTGGAGGTCCAGCCGACACCTGTTTCGTCGGCGGTCCTGCCGGCTCCATGTCCTGTTCCGTTGGGGGTCCCGCCAAGACCTGCTCCGCCGAGTTTCCTGCCAGCACCGTGTCCTGTCCTGTTTCGGGTCCCATCAACGCCAGCCCTTGCTCCGTCGTGGGTCCCACTGACACCGGCCCAGGTTCCGTCCAGGGTCTCGTCTACGCCTGACCTGCCAGGGGTTCCACCAGCTCCTGCCAGTCCTTGTGCCCGGCCTCCTGAGTTCCCAGCGGCTTTCGCCCTAGAGCCCGGTCTCCTGAGTTCCCCAGCCGAGGACTCAACCATGAACTCTGCCTTGCCCCCGGGCCGTCCGCTCGAGAACTCCATCATGGGCTCTGCCTTGTCCCTGGGCCGTCCGCCCGAGGACTCCATTATGAACTCTGCCTTGCCCCCGGGCCGTCCGCCCGAGAGATCCATCATGGACTCTGCCTTGCCCCTGGGTCGTCCGCCCGAGACACCCATCATGGACTGTGCTTTGCCTCTGGGTTGTCGTCCCGGACCCGTCCTCCGGACCCCCTCCACCCACCCTTTTTGGATTTTGGATTTTTTTTTGTACGTCTGGAATCCGTCCCTTGAGGGGGGGGTTCTGTCACGATTCTTGTGTTGTGTCACGTTTTTAGTTTTGTGTGTCTGGTAGTGGGTGTTTTGCTTTTCTCCTTGTCATGTTTTCCTCCTATTTTTTTTGTCATCTCAGCTAGAGATTTGAAAGTGACCATTTTTTGCTCATCTTGCTTTTTGTTTTGGAAAATAAAGTATCTTACCAATACTTTACCTCTGTCTCCCGGGTTGTGCAATTGGGTCCTACCTCCTAAGTGCCTGAGTTCTTAACATAAATAGTCAAAGAGACGCCCATTCATTCATTAATTTTGACTGACTGCATGAAGAAGATTGCAGGAAATGACAACAGAACAGCTAAAAAAGACATCTAACACCGTGTCAGATTTTGGTTATTTTGGGGAGGTCGAGACAAATCATATTGTTTGGTGGATGCAGTTTGAACCAGAGTAGCAGCATGGAGATCGGATCGTCACCAAAATAAATAAATAAGTGGTCCGAAAATGTCTAATGACAAAATAAATACACATAGCCTTCCTCAGGCAGTGTGTTTGTACCGGGGACAGGAGACACCCCCTTGATGAGAAACTAAGAAATTATCGGGGAATCCCTCTGGAGTGGAGTCATGACGACTGGATCTGAATTATTTGTTTGTATTTGGTAGTTTGGGTTCCAGCTTTCGATCAGCAACTATATATCCATAATCCACCAGTTAAAGGAAATACAACTAATGTGCTGTGTTATATTAGCTGTACAATTTACCACATATGGTGTTCTTAGTTTCCATACCTCCTGTGTTTTACGAGCGACTTATCAAGTCTTGGCAAATGGCATAAAACACGATTAAACGTGATAGTATATAAAACCATGCTCGTATCTACAACCTATAGAAATGCAACACGGCGTCAGTTTAAAGTAATGCTGTCCTCCTGCTTACCGCATCATTTATGAGAAAACATTTCATAACATTAACACAACATATTCGAGGTGGTTTTAAATAACATATCCGTATTTATTTATTTCTCCAAGTTATGTTTTTGTGTGCACTGAGGAGTCGCAAACAGGCATTTGTTTAATCATTTTAAGATTGGCTTTAATCAATTTGTGAAAATGAATTCTTCATATATGATAAATGAGAGGTAAAATTGTATTCATGGTATTATTTCCACATATTTCTCTCCATTCTTCCTTCTGCCAACGGTGTCGCAGTTTCTCGTCGCTCCCGTGTTTGTGCTTAGTGCGTACGCATGGGTTAGAGTTTGCATGGAGGACCGCACGTTTTCCCGTCAAGTTAGTATTTTATAAATCGCAAACATTGCGTAGAAACTGGCGTACGCAATTTTTTGAGCGTGTATCCCTTTATAAATGAGGCCCCAGGAAATTCCTTTTAACAGAGTAGGTACTGGAATCAACAAAAAGCGCTCACAAGGAGGAAAGACTATGCATAACAAAAAGAGAACTTAAGAAAGAAACTTAAGCCTACAAAATTAACAAAACAACAAAACCTGACATGAGTGAAAGCGATATTATTTTAGCTGAGGGATGGCACGACCATTCGGGGAAACAAACAAGACAAACTGACACAGGACAGGGGAGAGACAGGACTATTTAAACAAGAGGTGAGTGGGAACAGGTGGAAATAATCAGGGGCGGGGCAGACACTGATGATGGCGGGAAAACACACAAGGGGAGGAAGAAACAGGGCCTGAAATGATTAAGTACAAAATAAAACAGGAAATGACAGACAAAATATATAAACATAAACACATTTGACGAGACACAACACAGCGTATGCTTTAGGGCGTGGCTAGCTTGTGATTGACAGGTCACTACCATGTCCCGCTGGGGTTCTGTCCATTTTTTATTGCATGTCTTCTGACGATGGTAGGAAAACACAACAACCATTGGCATGAAGATTCATACTCCTCAAAGGAAAAGTAGTATTAATACTGTATTTCCCAATCTGTTATGTTTTCCTTTTCGTTTCTGTGGATGAGTTATCTCAAGCCTTCATCTCAGCTCGTGTATGAGGGGTGGTTCGGCATCCAATTTCCTAAAATGACACTACTCTACCTGTCCCTCCATCTTCAGGTTTCACCCCTTCTTTATCTTGGAGCACCTGAGTCATCTCTGCTGCAGTTACCTTTGGCAGGAAGAACACTCAATATAACTGTGCTCGGATGAAATAATTGTGCTCGGATTAAATAAGAGTGCGCTTATTAGGGGTCATGGTTAAAGGTTATAACTAACCAGTTGTCTGAGCAGCTTTCAGTGTGGAAAATAATGAAGATTGCGAAGATTCTTAGCAGCCAAGATCAATGGGGAAAAACACTTACCATTTGTGATAGTTCCTGTTTTCACTGGGAACATTTTTGAGTAAAACACTACAGATGGGTACAGAAATGATTTAACAGACACATCCAGTGTCTGTGTATCCAACACAACATTATCATATACTGCTCTGGAAAGAATTAAGAGACCAGTGAAAAATGATCAGTTTCTCCGGTTTTAGGTATGTTTTGGAGTAAAATTTGCATTTTTTTTTATTCTATAAACTACTGACAACATTTCTCTCTGCTGGAATTCAACAGACACTGGAAGGGCCATACATGTAGAGATTGATATTTAAGGAAAATGTTGAGTGATCTCTTAGTTTTTTGCAGAGCGGTATGTTTTTTAATAAGATATCAACCTATCTTTTTCCAAGGTTAGGATCAATGGTGACTAGTTACTTTTGGTTTAAGATTTTATTATGTCATTATGAATTTTACCTTCCATTAAATGTAATATTATTGCTTTGAATGACAATTAACCTTGAAAATACATATATATATATATATATATATCATAAGTGTATTTATATATATAGCCTCATATTCCATCTAAAATATTTCTCAAAATTGTCTTCCACAGCAACATGTTTCCAGCGAACCTGGTTCAAGCCACTTTTCAGCAGGTAAGCACAAATGTTAATGTAAAAGACACAGAAAAAAAAAGTACAATCAATAAGTACAAATAAAAGTGAAGAAAAAAATTATCTTTATCGGAAAAACATTTAACTGACTAAAAAAATTAAATAACAGCACGTCTACTGCAATCCACTCCCATGATGTGAATCTTCTAATTCAAATCTCTACACCTTTGACATGAGCCCATGTATAGATCATTATTATGTGAGGATCCGCTGCCCTGAACATCTCTGTTGGTGTCATGTCTGTGCTGATGTTGGCTCTGTCTTTGGTCTCAAGTATCGAACCCAGAGAGTTCCTGAGCTCATCCCCAAACCAACGGTGGCTCAGCTCCTGGATGAAACCACCACGCGCAGGGTCTACATCTACGGCATCCAGGACGACAATGGCACAGATATCCAGAATTTCTCCCTGGATCTCACGCCACCGCCTGATGTCATCATGAAAACGTCACCTGGTACCAGTGAAGGCATGAATGTGCTTGGGATAGTCATTTTTTCAGCTACCATGGGTAAGTGGTTGGCATATATCCCGAACACACATCTTCAGAGTTAAGTTACATAATTGCAATCTTGGCAATTATATTCCTGCATAATTACGTTTATAATGAGCTGTGATTCCATGTGGAACGCAGAGAACAAGGAAATGGTGACCTCCATCAATTAACACTGTGGGTGCATCAGTGGAGGTTTATAATTGATGCATTTAACAAACAATGAATGTGATCTATGTTGTTGTGGTTCTCTTTTTCTATCCAGGAATTATGTTAGGAAGAATGGGACCCAACGGAAGCGCTTTGGTCAACTTCTGCCAGAGTGTGAATGAGGCCGTTCTGAAGATCGTTGCCATTGTCATCTGGTAAGAGTTAGATCTTGGAAGTAAGAAACACCAACATTAAGTCAATTAAGCAGTTTTGCTGATACTAGTACTATTGATAATTATTGCAGCTGAAGAAGAATTTGGAATTTCTCGTTTTTTGCTTGGTTTTATAGCTGGTAATATCAGCGCCTTTGTCAGTAAGTTCACTATGACATTAGTAAAGGCATTCATGTTCCCCAGAGGATGTAGGGTGCCCAGGGAATTAATCTTGTTGACTTTGGTTGTCCCCTAACTTTATATGTTATGCATGTCAAAATCTGAATTCTAAATTTCCAGACAATGTGTTCAGATGATCATGGCTCCTATGTTGGGGTGATTTGTTATGACATTTGATTTAGTCATTTATGTCCCCTCAGAGCTAATAGGTATATTTGTTGTAACCCCCACATTTTAATTTATCCAATCTACACAAAATGACCAATACCTTTATAAATCAAATAGCACTCTGAGGACTCACGTCAATGGTGCATTCATGTGCTCCTGGGATGGTCCTATTCCCCGTATTGGATTGTATTCTAGCGTTTGGATCAAAGAACCACTAGCAGGAATATAGAAGTGTTTTTGAAAAGAATAGAAGAGCAACAACAGGTTGTGGTTGTGTTTTAGTAAACAAATACTCTACCTTTCTTCTGTCTCTTACAGGTATTTCCCTTTTGGCATCGTCTTTCTGGTTGCCGGTAAGATCTTGGAGATGGATGACCCTTCAGCCATGGGAAAGAAGCTGGGTTTTTACGCCATTACGGTGGTAATGGGCTTGGTGCTACATGGCCTCTTCATCCTCCCGGCCATGTACTTCTTCATCACTAAGAAGAGCCCCATTGTGTACATAAGAGGAATTTTGCAGGCCCTTCTCATCTCCTTGGCCACCTCCTCCAGGTAAAATGAAAAGATTGGATTTTTCCAAATTGAACATTGCATTGGATTTATCGATTTATAACGGTTGGGGCCATGTGAATCTGTTAGGCTGTTTTCTTCAGAGCCAAACATGCTGTGTAGAATTCCATTTTTTTGTTCCTACACTGGAGCGATACTGCAACTATAGAGCAAGTAATATAAGTTCACTTAGCATTGCTATGCTAAAGCTTTAAAATATATCTTTCATTAAGAATTAACCATTTTCCAAGGAGAAAAAAAAAATGAACATTCCCAATTTATCCAAACATCGCTTGATTAAAAACATTGTTGGACCTGAAAGGAGGATCTGACTGTTCATGAACGGACGGTCGGAGTGCAAAAAAAATGTCCACAGAGTTTTTGAAACAAACTATAAATCTAACGTAAGCTGGCTAGCTACTAGCTATCAGGCACCAGATGAAATAAGTGACAAATATTTATACTTTTCAACATTGCATATCTTTGTCTACCGTTCTGGCAGTGAGAGTTATTATATAAAACATTGTCACTAAATGTTTTATTCTTAACAGCCAGTGTGCTAACATTCTTTGGTTCTTTTGGAGTTCGTCATGAGGGAGCCACCGAGAGACAATACAAAATAACTGAACACATTGCATGAATTCACATATGAGAATATTTGTATGTGTTGTCCTCCCAGTCACTTATTGCTGATGGTTGTGGTGTTGTAAAACCATCCGCAGGGTAATAATTGAAATTTCCCAAATATGATTTATTGTTTACATTGCTACTAAAGCTGCAACGAAAGAACAAATACAACATTTATTTCAAAGAAGAAGTAAACAAATAAAAGGGAAGAATAGGGTTAAGAAACACACCGAATCAAGTCGGCTACATTTTGATTTGTTTATTTCCCTTTGCAAGATGCATATCATGTGAGGTCACCTGAGACTCATATTGGTTCTCTCGAGGAACACATAAGTTACACATTAATGCTCCCTGAACAGTGAGTGGGTGGATAATGGAGTTCTCCTTGAATCATTGGATGATTGTGGGGTTTTACTGTGACCTTTACCCTTTTAACCTCCGACACCACCTCAAGGTTGTTTGTTAAGATTGGCTATATTTGTGTCGTTTGCAACCAAACTATACCTTGCAACCTTAGTTCAGTATGATGACAGTTTACACTTCACTGATCTTCTGCTGCTGATGAGACATATTGTGATGTTTCGTGCAGTGTGGTAGTGAAGGTTCCAATAAACTATTTGCTGTTTGTTTACAGTATGTGTTGCAGTTAACAGTTACTAAGAGATAGAACCAACGAAACCTCTAAATAAAATGTTGTATTTGCAGCATTCAGTTGTTCACTAACAAACCTTAGTCTCATTTTAAATCACAGCTAATCTTACATTTTGATAAAATATATCCATGCGTATGCAACCATTTTGTGAATATTCATTGACATCTTCAATATTGGTATATCTACACATTATGTTCTTGTATTTGTATATCAACCCAAAGACTAGCATTTTCCCCCCATCAACACAAAACTATATGTCTCTATGCTTTTTTAGAATAAACATAGGAACATTTATTAATAACAATTTGTTGCAGTTTTAGAAAACTGCAGGAGTTTCAGGGCAACAGCCCCTGTAAAAGCATGTTGTGGTATTATTCAATCGAACTCTGCTTGTCTCAAAGGAGTCTTCATATATGTATTATGTTAATATACCGTAATTAAACTAATGTAGTTTTCTTTTCTTCAGCTCTGCCACACTGCCTATCACCTTCAAGTGCCTACTTGAGAACAACCACATCGACAGACGCATCATCCGCTTTGTGTTGCCTGTCGGGGCCACCATCAATATGGACGGCACCGCACTCTACGAGGCAGTGGCAGCCATCTTCATCGCCCAAGTTAATAACTATGAGCTTGACTTTGGACAGATCATCACGATCAGGTAAGTACATTTAGACTGGGACTGGCTAAAATAAATTAGCTTTTGGTGGAAATGTAATGAAGCGTAAGATATGTCAGCAGTTGAGGGAAGGCAAAATATTGAAGGATATTTGCACAGTCGGATGAAATCCTCCTGGCTCCTCGGTCAAATATCGGAGATGAAATTGTGATGCCAATATTTTTATTAATTTTGTTGGATTACTTCAAAAAACTGTGTGAAAAAAATGAACTAAGTTACTGACCTTGAACCTGGAGTCGAGGCTAGCTTTTCTCGCCGTTTGTAGTTTCAGTGCTAAGCTAAAGTAGCAAGCTGCTGTTTGTGACTTCATATCAACCGTGCAGATAATAGAGTAGGCAGGGTATCAATCTTCTCAGCCTTCTTTTGGAAATAGAATGAAATAATTCACACCAACTCTTTATGCACAGATTCTTATCTCAATATAAATTGAACGAATGAGGAAAACCTTTGATAGTGTGAGGATATAAGCTATAAATTGCATCTGAGTAAAAAAATAGAGCAGGCATACTTGTTTTTTCAGTGCAACATTTGAATGAATCTAACGTCACACATTTAGTTTAATTCTAAATTAATAACAAATATTATGGGATTTACTAGATACACATATATGTAAATGTCACACAGATTACATCTCATATGAGCTCCTTAGTCTGATCTGATTTCTGCTAAATCGTTCTGGAAGCCCCGGGGACACAGACAGTCAGACAGACAGACAGACAGACAGACAGACAGACAGACAGACAGACAGACAGACAGACAGACAGACAGACAGACAGACAGACAGACAGACAGACAGACAGACAGACCGAGAGACACACAGACAAAAACAGTCCTCTTTCCACCGACTCCCTATAACTTTTTTACCACAGGAGATCAAGCCCACCCAGGTCTAAAAATGGCCTGTCCTTCCTCTGATTTCATGTCCAACAGTAATAACATTAAGCAGACCTCTCCTCATGGCTGCAGTCTGTGCCCACTCCGTCATAATCCCTTGGCGGTAAAACCCATATGACCTGTATTGCTCATCTCCCTTGTCACGGCAGAATTATAATAATTTTCTTCTCTCTGCGCCCTGTTCCCGTGCCGTTTGGCGGCTGACCAAGGAGCTGCTCCATCTGCATGCCAACACAACCCCTTAACCCCCACAACCCCCCCACCAGCCCTGCAGAGGGACAGTTTGTCAGTTTGTGATCAAAGGTCCAGGTGTGGGATAAAATATCCCCTCAATCATTCTTCCTACATTATTGCAATACTTAACTTAATTAAAAAATGTAATGCTACGATTTATACATTCTATCTATGTCATTCTATAACACATAGGTGTGAGCAAGCTCTCTGATTGGTCAATAGGCGTGTTTGATTCCACGATCAAAGAACGGTCAAATAGAACGTGCCTTTTCACAACAAGTCAGTATCCCTCCGCGTCTGAGAAAAACGGTATACCCTTGGAACTGGTACAGGCGTACAGGCGTACGGACCTCGGCGCAAGCGCCTCGGTCCTGCCACAGTACTGTCGTACCAATAATGACGTTAAAGAACGGCCTCTCGTGTATGATTGCTTAATTAGAAAACGTAAAATTACAATAATATCATTTTCAAAACTTATTTAAAGTTTTTTATTGAAACACAGCATCCAACACATTCTACTCCGACTCATCTAGATCCTAACCCTCTGTTTTCAAAACTATTGCGAGATGTTAAGGTTAGGAATGAATCTAATGGTCAGCAAGTCTTGTATGTTTCGCAAGTTTTGCAAATGTAGGGTTAGCATCTAGACACGACCACAAGGTGTGTGTTTTTAGCTAATTATTTTGTTGGTCGTTGTAAAATAACGTACTTTACCTGTTTATCATTCTAAGTTGAGTCAGCTGTCAATATTAAATGTCAGCTGGAGACGAAGAGCACATTCAACTCTGAGATTAAGCAATAGTGTTAAAGCTAGCAACATCTGATAAGATCTGCTGGCAATACAACAATTGTAGCCAGCAAATTCCCATTCATATGCCACAAATGAGGAGCCTGAATTTGTGTTAATCAGGTACAATAAAACATTTTTAAAGAATTGAATTAAACATTTCGCCACAGTTTTTTATCATAAACTACAAATGTTATGCTAGAATAAATAGCTTGACAGGATGGCAAACTGCCCCACTTTCCGTCGGTTAGCTCTCACCTATGATGAGTAATTGTTACAATATCAAACTAAAATAAATGCTCCTCTCCGCTCCATCAGCATCACCGCCACGGCAGCCAGTATCGGAGCAGCAGGAATCCCACAGGCTGGACTCGTAACCATGGTGATCGTGCTGACCTCTGTGGGCCTGCCCACCGATGATATCACTCTCATCATTGCTGTTGATTGGGCTTTGTAAGTAAGGGTTCATCTTTCCAACATGTGAAGCTCTTCGACTCAGCATGTGGCTATGACGTTTGAGTGTCTTTGTACTCTGTAGCATCTTAGCATGAGTATTTTTTATATTGTATATGCAAATACCAAATTATGCATGAGTACCATACTTGATGTATTTAAAAATGTTATGCCTTTACATTGCATAACCTAAACATCTCAACCGATGATGACAAATATCAAATTTTCCCAAGCATCTTTGACACTGCGCATTACTTTTCATCCTTTTTATTATCAAGGGATCGATTCAGGACCATGGTGAATGTGATGGGGGATGCACTGGCCACAGGCATCATGGCTCATATCTGCAGAAAAGATTTCGTCAAAGAAGGGGAGCAGGTGAGAGCCTTCATCTTAGTTTGAAAGACCTAGAGAAAAGTTCAAGGAATGTGGGTAGCCCTGACTCTAGCTCCAAAATTTAAGACTAGTGACTATTCACTCATCTTATACTGAAAAAACTGAAATGTTAACTTAAATTAAATGTTAACAATGTCAACAAATTTCACAAAACTGTATTAGGTTAGTTGAAAGCAATAATATTAAGTTGAACTCAATTATTTTGTATTGAAACTTAATATTATTGCTTTCATCTAACCTAATATTGTTATGTGACATCTGCTGATGTAATACATTTATTTAAAGTCAACGTTTCAGTTTTTTCAGTGAAGGTAAGAACCTGAAAATTATCATAATAGGGCGTAAGTGCCATATCAACAGTCTTCAATCTAACTCAATCTAAAATATTGCGAAACAAAATATGTTAGTTAAAAGAACACACTGTTAACCTGTTCAACCCGGAAGCTGCAGGGTTTTTTTTCACGAAACTGTGTCTCAGGGCTTCTTAACATTTAAAACCTATTAATGTGTCATACGCACTTAACGGGAAGAAAGTCAGCTAACTGACGATACGAACCATTTTTACCAAAACAAAACACAAGTCTCACAAGAAGCGTCTAAATGAGCCCTGAGCAAAAAAATGCTAACACACTTAGCACAGAACTCTAGGTATAAATACCCTTATTACATATCGGATCTGCACAAACAAGATATTGATTAGCAAACTGAGATTCCACAGATTCTAGGGGTATAAGCATCATCACTGAGCGATCAGAACTCGCGACAGGCAACACGGAGCTTTACGGAGCAAAAACGGGACATTGTCTTACCTACTGTATGCTGTTGTTCTGATCAAAACTTGTGTTCAATGGCATTAAAACGATAAAAACGCTGCTGACGGTTAATCCATAGGTTAATCCAATGTGTCTGAAATGATTACTGACAATCCATCTTCATATTTATGTCAATAATGGAGTTTTCATATATAGTTGCTATGACAGCTTTTTCTAAACCTCTCTAAAAAGGTCAAATGTCAGTTGTTTTGCATCAATCTTGATATAGGGTACTTATTATATGTTATAGTTTGGATTCCAAAAGCTTTTAGTCTACTATCCCATCTTTCAAGGTTGGTTTTCAGTATTTTTTTTATTTTTGGACAGACACTATAATTTATACTTTTTTACTATGTTCCAGAGGTGTGGACTCGAGTCACATGACTTGGACTCGAGTCAGACTTGAGTCACCAATTTGATGACTTGAGACTCGACTTGACAAAATCACAAAACACTTGCGACTCGACTTGGACTTGAACACCAATTACTCGGGACTTGAGCCTTCTGACTTCAGGTGACTTGATCATTTCATTCAGAGGTCTCCAACACGCCGATCGCGAGCTGCCGCTAGAAGAGCAGACCCGTCGGGGAGAGCAGAATCTTCAGCCGCTCCTACTCTTGCTGAGAATTCTTGCAGGCAGGGGCGGGACTTTATTTAGCTGGGCCACCATGCGGCCAATCATATGCGAGGACACACTAGGATCATACCATTATGTGAAAGAAGGGTGGGGGCACAGCAGGTGTAGTGGTATAGGCCAGCTACACAGAGCGACGGGGAGACGGATTTAAATGCAAGCGCGTCGGAAAAATCAAGAAATGAGCGAAAACCGAAAAAATAAGCAGCATCTGGCTGCTTTTCAATGATATTGGAGAAAGCAAATCTGAGTGCAGGATTTGTAAAATGAAAATAACCTTTTTTGGTTATCTTTTTTTTGGTAACCACAGGATTTATTGTCAGGTGGGAGAAGTTCAGATCTTGTACTTGAGTAAAAGTACCAGAGTGTAGGAATACTCGGTTACAATAAAAAGTCCTGCATTCAAAATGTTACTCAAGTAAAAGTAGAAAAGTATTATCATCAAAATATAGTTAAAGTACCTGCAGAGGGATCTAGATTCAGGTGTTCTTTTCCCCATAGAGACGCCTGGCTGCACATTATCCCTTACATTAAGATAGATTGTGGGTCCCTTATAACATGTTGTACACAGTGGAAATAAACATTCTGGTTACCTCAACATCAGGGATCTTATACATTAAACTCCTTCGAATCAAATCGTCACGGTAGCCTACTGATCCCTCTTAAAATAGAAAAAAACACGTTAATTTACCAGCAGAGAGAAAATGGATTATTACATTATTAATGTGACTAATAAAGAGCGGTTTGATTATTAAGTATTATTCTGTTGATCGATGTTATTACATTTGGTGAAAAGCACATAATGACTTGTTTATGACTCGTTTTGTCAAAGTTTAGGACTTGACTTGACTTGAACTTGCCCATCCTGATTTGAGACTTGACTTGGACTTGAGCGCAAAGACTTGAGACTTGACTCGGATTTGAGCGCAAAGATTTGAGACTTGACTCGGACTTGCAAAACAATGACTTGGTCCCACCTCTGCTGTGTTCAATCTGAATTTACTTTAAAATAAAAATATTCTATATTGATTCTGACTTTTCTACATCCAACTCACAGGTTTATCATTGCTTTGAGAAAAAAGAGATTATTAATTTACCCCTTTTAGAAGTGAAGTTGTAGTCATTTGTTCTGGGAATGTCATTTTCGAGCCTGATACCTGAAAAACAGGCACAGGGGTTAACAGGTTAAAGCAAATGTTAGTTCATGTGGAAGGGAATTCCAGTGAGTAGTACCATAATTACTGAAGGCACCATAAACTGATAAAGAATGTATTCGTGCTATATACTTGATGATCTAAGGGACACAAAACATCCCTATGGAGCTATGGATGTAAGCATTTTGTATTAAATATATATATTTGCTGATAAATACGTGATTCCTTCCTCTTTAATCATTGCGTTCTCCAGGTGCCTCTGATCTGTGAGACCAAGCCCATGATAAGCATCCAGCAGATGATGACCTACCAGAACCAGAAGAACGGATGCTTCCAGCCCCCTCCCCCGGGCAGCAGGCAGGACCACTACCACCAAGAGGTGGCTCGCCTCATGCAGCTGGAGGAGGGCTTCCGGCCGCTGGAGAAGAAGAAACACGCCCACCCGTCGCACCACAAGAGAGAGCACAGGGGCAAGGACCACTGCTCCGTGGACATGAACGGGCTGGAGACTAATGTATAGAAAGCATAAGACAAAATAAGACATGGTGACTTTAAGTTCACATGCTTCGAGAAGGACTGCGGCCCAGGGCGGGTGAATGCAAGACGACCCCGGGGCGGAAAAAAAAGACGATTTTTCTTTTTTACATAACTTAAATAATGACCCGCATTTGATTATGTATGTTTGTGTGTGTACATATTTATCAGAGATGTTTTATTTGATACAAACAGTGACAATGTGCTGCTCTAGCTTACAGACAATTTTTGAGGTTTCACTAACATCCTCCCAGATCTGTGAGTCAGAAATGGAGAACATACGGAAGAGGATTAGGGCCAAAATAGTTATCGATTTTTATCTGAAAATCTCAGAATTTGAGAAAAAAAATCCGAATTATTAGATAAAAAACTATGAGATTTTCATATTGAAATATATAATTATTTTTTTCTTAGAGCTCCTGATCTGGTCAGATCTCAAAAACAAATTGGCCCTCATCATTTTCCATAAGAACACTATAGTTAATATCTGAAACATTCAAAACTTACCCCTCATATCACTTTATATTCATTATGATCTGTTGTGTTTATAGTATTATTTTATTTTGTCATTCTGCTCTTTATAATGAAACTGTTGCCTGGTTGGAGCATTCTCCCAATAAATGTACTAACTCAAAAACGCACACAACAAAGAAAAATAGAGGAACAACACCACATCATTGATAAACCTCTACTCTAGTTCACATTTAGGAAATAAAAGTATCTGATTTTGGGAAAAAAAAAAAGGATTTCACAATTTCCCATATTTTTCAGCCACATCTTTCCCTATGTTCTCTGCCTTGTTGTCCTGAGTCATAAGTGCATACTCTGCCTCATACGTGCAGCGCTGCACGGTTATTGCCAGAATCCAAGACAAAAAGATGATGAAGGTCACGATGAAAGCGAGGACGAGTGTTTGCCCTTGTGTTGGAGACATGTGAAGACGTCTATGCACCCCATTGTATTTCCTCTTTGCCTTAAACGACCAAAGGAGAAGCATGTGGGACCAGAGCACTACCGAAGCAAATGCCCAAATACTCAAAACAACACAAGGTCATACTCGGAACTCTGTCCATGTATATGTGACATATGCTGTACATGTGTGTATTTCAAAGGACTTAAAAAAAGGAGATTTGACTACCATGTGTCAAGAGCTGCCATTCTGTATTTGTAAAAAGGAACATTTCACTGTAGTATGAAAATGTACCAACTCTGTAAAAAAAAAAAGGAAACGTCAAGAAATGAAAAATATATAAATAATGTCCAAATAGTACTATTGGAGTTATTTTTTAAATGATTTTTTGGTATGAGGTTTGTGTTACAAGAGCTGCTGTTGCAATACAGATATGACATTCCAAGAGCTAAAAACTTGTTTATTATGAAAAGAGCTTCCATCTTAAAAAGGTCATACATGTTCAAATGTCATGTTCAAACATGAGTTAATCCCAATGTAAATGTAAGCCAAGTGAGCTGTTAAATAAGCAAAGAGACTTTAAAAGTCCGGTTTTTGCATGCCAGTGCAATCAGGAACATGGATGGCTTATTAAATGTCGGCTCAGGTGAATCCCTATATAGAGTGGCGAAGTCACGACCATCTACTTCCGGTCCATGGGACCTTATTTCGGAAAAATAATATATTGAAGTCAATGGAGAGAGAAAACTTATCTTTCGATCCCGTTTGAATTGTGTCATGAATTACACATATGTTTGTCAATCTTCAAAAATAATTTCCATGTCAAAAAAGTCACTGTTGAAATATAAGACTATGAAAAATACGCAACTAGAAAGACTACAAATCGCGTCGCCTAAGTGATGTCACAATTGTTTTCCTCCACTAAGAGATAGCTAAGATCAGCGCCATATACATAGATAGAATCTATGTATATGGCGCTGGCTAAGATAAGATAACTTTAACAAGATGCCTGTGTGCTTAGTACCAGGTTGTTATCATACCAGCAATGGGTCTTGCTCGTTCTTTCGCTTCCCGTCTGATGAAAGGACCAGGAGTGGCACGATCAAGTTAGCTACCTAGCTAGTAGCTAGCACGTTAGTTAGCATTACAGCGTTATCATTTTTATTAGCCTTAATATGAAGTAACATTAAGTAACCCAAAATGTTAAACAGTAAGAGTAATATTTCGTGAACCCTTTGTCACCGGTGTGATCATCCTATAATACACAATTTAAGCCCGGGGGAGAAATGCTAACGCTAGCATCGGCGATCGCCGATCTTTTCTACTTCATGCTATCTGCACAAATGGTTGACATTAAACATTAAAAAGACCAGGCAGTTCAGAGAGAATCAAAGGAAGGCAGGCAGGCAGCCTTGCATGACATTCTTCTGTACGTGTTTCATTGTGGTGATAGTGAGGGTAGTCAATCGTTTTGTTGACAAGACAGTAGTGACGGCCATCTTGGTGACGTGTGTTGTTCTGCGAGACCAGAGATGTTGTTCATTGAGCGTTTCACACAAACAAATGTGTTACTTCACAGTTTTATGACAATTTTTTTTTTTTTACTTACAAAATTATCTTTTAAATTGACAAACATCATATGTGTAATTCATGGCACAATTCAAACGGGATTGAAAGATAATCTTTCTCTCTCCATTGACTTCAATACATAATTTTTTCGAAATAAGGAGGGACTTCGCCACTCCATTGATATGCACTATGGTACATGGTCAACCTAAAGTTCCCATATCAATAAAAAGTTTAAAGGTAAATATCTTATACACAGGGTTGCTGTTGGCCCTGAAAATGGGCTTCCTGGTTATTACATGCTGATATAAAGAAAAATCTCTGAGCAGGAGCAACAAGAGCAGCCTTGGAGCAAGATTGGGTATAAAAATACATCTAGCAAGGCATTTTCAGAAGACTTGTGTGCAATTGCCAACCCATTGACCAAACAATCCCTACAGACAGATTGAAAGGAGTGACCAAAATGAAGAAGTATCTAGGAAAATGTAGCTTGCTACTTTTTGGCAATTTTTCAGTATGAATTACAAAAAAGCAGCATAACAAAACAGATAAAATAATATGACAAGCAGGAGAACTAGACTTATCAGTACAAAAAAGAGAAAGCAACCACCAGAAAAAGGGAGGAAAAAGCATGAGCTTTGTGTTTGGGTTCGATACTGTTGTTGCAGTACCAATGTGTGTGGATGGGTTTTCTTTATGAAAGGTATGGGGTGGGGGAGCAGAAAAGGAGGAAAATATATACCATATTGAGAGAAGAAACACAAAAAAGGCACATGGGTTGACCTTGGTCTGATAATGGCAGAACTTTATGATATAATTTATTTGATTTAATCATCCACTTTTTCTTACGCTTCATTCCCTTTATTACCTCCTTGGTGTCTTGGCAATAACTCTCCTTACCAGCAGGCGGCGGTAGTGTGTATTCGTCATTCAAAAGAGCCAACCGGAAGACAGACTGCGTGATATACAAACATATATGCGTTCCATTTTCACTCTCGTCCATCACAGACTGTTTCACATAACGACTTATAATCGAAAACATGTTTAGTGCGGTACTGGAAAATGAAAAATAATAGCCGTCTGTGTGTGCCTTCTTCACTTCCGTTTCGCTTCTCATGCACTGATTCGCTAAGCTGAACAGCCAATAAGAGTGATTTATTTTGCAGACAGCCTCCCGATTCAACAGCGGAAGGTGTCGGCACGGCCGAAAAGACATGATGGTGCTGGACACACCAATCTGAGTAGGGCGACAGGATGCTCATCGACGGCCAGACATCTATCGACGGTCTAAATCGGCCCGGTGTGTCCGGGACGACGCTGAAGTTGGCTTCCGATTCAGAGCATCCGATTCGGCAGTTAAGGGGAAAGTTAAGGGACATTTAATTTACAGCGCTGAGCGAACAATCCTCCGTGTTTGAACCTCTTAAATCGCTGTATACCCGATTTATTTGGACTGGATTATCCCAGAGAGTCTAAAGATTCTTTATAACCCAGTTTGAGATTTGTGAAACCTTAATTCTATTTGTGAAAATACAAACACAGGTGGAAGGCTGAGGTTGCTGAAGCAGGCCAGGATCAGGATCAGAAAGTGAACCTGCCAGCTGGGCAAGCCTTTATGCCATCTTGAGGCTCCGCCTCTAGATGGGCGGGCACAAACAGGACGACACTCCCAGTACCTGCCAGAGGACAGCAAGGCAGGGAGCACAGACAGGCAGAAGGGGGGAGGGGTCGTCACAACATGTTCTTTTGTTTTATTTTATTGTTCTGTCTTTTTATTTATTTAAGTATTCCAGTAATGTATGTTGCATGTTTTAATTTGATTGTATTTACTTGTTTAAATGAAATTTGTTTTAGGTTCACTTATAAAATATGTCCAGGGATAACAGATGAAAAATAGACTCTTGGCTAACTCTGGCACATTTACAGGAATGTTAATTAATGTGCACTGTCCCTGTTAAACAAATGAATAAATAAATAAAAATAAGTGTATGCTCCTCATTTAGGTGATAATTCTTTATCTAGAAAGTTTTCGTATCTTAAATACTGTTTCACAGCAAACAAAAAAATGAAAGACATGTTAAAGGAATTCAGGTTCATGAGATAAAGAAAAAGGCTAACCTTCAGTCTTTCATCCACTTTGAACAGCTTCTGCTGCTTTGTCCTAAAGCTAAATATGAATAGCAATTATTTTCTGAGAGAGAAGACAGGATTACAATGAACCAACTTTCTCATACCATTGTTACCAACGTGTTATTTTCTAATCTTGTAATGTTTTTCACATTCCAAGCAATCCTAGTACTCAAGATGACATACTGTAATTAGGCAAAGCTTGTTGCTTAAAGTAAACTTGAACAATGCTAGTTATAGACTATATTTAATTTCCTGTTGAAATGTTTTGCCTGCAACTGTAAATACATTAAGTTTATATAAGTATACCTACTTATCTGTTGAATTTTTATTTGCAACAAAACATTATAATACATTTGAGAAGTAAAGACTTTATTCTTCCTTAATTAGCTGTACATACTTACCCGATTTGATGAGTGTAGGTCTAGTGGTTTCAGATCAGGACCTGGTCTAATGTGGTCCACATGTAAAAAAAGCACTGAAATCTCCCTTGTTTGTATTTTCACAAATAGAATAAAGGTTTCACAAATCTAAAACTGAGTTATAAAGAATCTTTAGACCCTCTGGGATAATCCAGTCCAGATTTGATGAGTCTAGGAAAAGTGGTTTTAGATCAGGACCTGGTCTAATGTGGTCAGGATGCGAAAAAAGCACTGAAATTTCCCTTGTTTGTATTTTCACAAATAGAATAAAGTTTTCACAAATCTCAAACTGGGTTATAAAGAATCTTTAGACTCTCTGGGATAATCCAGTCCAGATTTCATGAGTTTAGGTCTAGTGGTTTTAGATCAGGACCTGGTCTAATGTGGTGAAGATGTGAAAAAAGCACTGAAATCTCCCTTTTTTTAATTTTCACAAATAGAATAAAGGTTTCACAAATCTCAAACTGGGTTATAAAGAATCTTTAGACTCTCTGGGATAATCCAGTCCAAATAAATCGGCTATGCAGCGATTTAAGAGGTTCAAACACGGAGGATTGTTCGCTCAGCGCTGTAAATGAAATGTCCCTTAACTTTCCCCTTAACTGCCGAATCGGATGCTTTGAATCGGAAGCCAACTTCAGCGTCGTCCAATCTGAGTAGGGCGACAGGACGCTCATCGACTTCCAGACATCTATC